GAGAATTAAACTGCTCAAATAGAAAAGGGATTATTTAAAGGGGTGTTGAGATACTGTACTTAAAAGTTACTTTTTATAGCAAATTGACTTAGAAAAACTTGTATTTAGACTGTTTCTAAGTCTTGAAAATGTAGGGTTTCATTCAAAGGGTTTAAAAAAAAAAAAACCTTTACTCTGGAACTTCCAGGTCACAACAGTGTTGGCATAGTTTAAAAACAACAACTTTTTTTCAAGAAACAAGACAAGTTAGTATCCAAAAAATAATGTCCTGTATTAGCATTGCTGATCTTGATAGAAAAAGTGTATCTTCATTTTCTTCCAGGTATATGTAGAGTACACACACAAACTGACAAGCTGGTTATAGTAATAAAACAATCACAGGATCAGAAGGCGGAAGTCTCTGCATTTTACATTAGTTTTCTCTCCCCTCCCCCCCGTGTTTTGAATTGCTTTAAAGCAGGTGATTTATTTGTGGGCAAAAGGGAATTTTATTATGACTGAAGCAAGTGCTGGTATCATATGGCAATTATGAACTGAGACTTAAATTACAATAGTGTTGGTGCTTTGGAATGTCTTTACTGAAAACTGGATATTTTATACATGCCATGGACTATTTAAACCTGTGAGTTTTATAACATTCACAATTTTCATATTGATTTATTTTTAAAATAGATTATTGTAGAAAAGTAGCATCATTTTACAATATATGAATTCTTCTTGTTAAGAATAAGCTTTCAACTTATACAATTAAGTCTACTGGAAAATAAACTGACAGAGATAAGTCCAAACTATCACTGATAATCTAATGTGGCTTCTGAAAGCTTGTGACAGTAAAGATGAGGGGAGGGGAGGCAGGTGATTTTCATATTTCTTTTTTCTATGCCACTAAATGCTCTTGCTGCCATGATTTCACTGTACAGATGGTATCAGTGGTTCCCAGAACACTTAAAACTCTCAGAGGCTACAATGCTAGAGGCATTATATGTAAAACTCTTTCTGGAGTTCTGATGGTATTGCCATCCCACAGTATTACTATCCACGGGTTAAATAGAACAAAACATGAATGTAGTATTTTCCATAACTTGTTTAGGGAAGAGTTTCAGTACTGATTTAATGGCACAGGCGAGTTAGTTTTCTATGCAGGTTCACCAAGTAATAGATATTTCTTTGATTGCTTATTAAAAATTAATTTGGACCAATCAGATGATAAGGCTGTCCTATTTTATTCATCCTACTGGCATGCAAAGCAGTTATGGTAATAAAACAAACACAGTATTAAATGTATTACTAGTAATGGTATAACAGTATCAGTAAGAATGAATAAATCTGAGCAGAAAATCTGAAGACCAAGAAAAATGGTTGTGGCTTTGTTCTCATAAGAACCAATTTAAAAGAAGTATTAAAAAGGAATAATAGTTCTCAGGGATGAGGTTCATTCCAAAGTTCAAGGCCTCTGTGGTGATGTGAAACCTAAAACAGAATCCAAGTTTCTTATTTTTAATTTTTATTGAATGTGAACCTCACAGCAATCAGATGACTCTCAGCAACTTGCACAGTGTATTATATTACAAAATTAAAACATCCGCAGTACAGTTAAAAACACCACCATCATAACTCCTCACACACAAACACCCAAAATCACACACAAACAACATATGAAAATAGAGAAAAGTAAAAGAAGGCACAGGATTTAAGTTATAAGAAGTCAGTAAGTACACAGGCCACTTCATTCTGGAATGGCTGCAGTTTCCATTAAGACTTTAAAGGTAGCCCCATGTAAAGTGTATTGGGTTGACTGACTGGGTGATAATGAAGGTATAAGCTATTGTACCTCAGTCCTCCTGCAGCATATATAGTCATAAAGTGCATCAACAAGAACTAGGCAAAGGTCCCACTAGTCATAGCATCCACCACCTGATCAAGCAGGACCCATGAGTCTAGAAGGACCTCTAAATTACAAATCAGCTTTTTCCTGAGTACTGCTTGCCCATACAGAGATAATGCTGGTGTTGACAGAGGGTCTCAACATATAAAGAACAGTTGTGTCTGTCTTCGTTTCATCTTCAACCTGTTCTCCAGGAATTGAGATAGGATGTCAGTAATATCCCCACTATAGCCAAGGATGGTAATATAAAGTCGGGTATTGACAGCATACTGATGATACCACACCCCAAACTTCCCAGTGGTTTCATATAAAAATTGAAAAGTAGGGGAGAGAGGACTGATTATTTTAGCATCCCGATACCATGGGCCAACAGGCTGACCTCTCACCACCCCCGCCTAACTGAAACCATCCACTGAGAAAGTAATGGAATAACTCTGAAACTGTGCCTCCAATTCCCACTCCCCATAGTTGTATTGAAAACCCCTGACAGGTCCAATAGGACCGGGGGCGGCACATTTTTCCCTTTTTATGGATTTTGTAAGACACCCAGAATCTGCTGGGGTGGAGACTCATATTAAATTGAATAATATGAATGTCAGATCATCCAAGAGAGCAACCAGTGCTGTCTCTGGGCCTGAACCCTAACTGAACCCTGAGGTGTAGAATACAATGATGGCAATTGTCTATATTTATATCCTGAAAGAAGGAACTTACTGTCTTGAACATGCTTTGGTATATGTTCCTAATTGATTTTCTCTGATCACTCTGAATTTGTTTATAGTGGTGTATTTAATATATCGCTATATTAAAACCTTGATTCGATGTTTCTGTCATTGAACTGGCAGAAGAAAAACATTTTGTGTCAAATACAAGATCATGTCAAAAAACAGAGGTTATTTTTGCATCTAGTGAATTCAAGGCTTCTCCTGAAAAACTCATTTAAGACCCAACCACCAGCATGATTTCCTGACCTAACCCTAGTTAGTCTTCAGTAGGAATTTAGAATTGATTTTATAGTTTGCAAACATCAGAAATTAGCATGGTAATACTTGTTTAACCTGGGCCAAAGTATGTACACAATAAATTGAACTGAAGGTTTTAAGAGGATTAGTTTTGTGTATGTACATGTGTGTTTTCATTCTTGAATGTGTTGCTTTAGAACTCTTATAGTCCCTGTACTGTTTGTTTTTCTAGTTGTTTTATTCCAGGCTGCCTGTTTATGTGGCTTTTAATTGTTTTAACTGTTTTACTCCTTTTTATGGATTTTGTAAGATGCCCAGAATCTGCTGGGGTGGACACCCATATTAAATTGAATAAATTAAATTAAATTAAATTAAATTATTGTGCATTGGAAAATAATTTTCTCCCTTGGAGGGAGAGATGGATGCAATCATTCCTAAAACTGTAATCCAATCATTGCAAGCTAACAGTATCTGTTTGCACCTTATTATTGTTGAAATAATTTTATTCTGGACTATTTTAGAATTGTTACTGGTATGGCAAATCATATTTCAAGAAAGGTTAATATAAGCTTTAAAATAAATCTGTGGCTACAATTCATACTTTATTCATTTTTCACAATCTAGCTTGGGGGAAGCAGGAGCACTTCCTATCATTATTGATTGTCCTTTTCCTTAGATTGTGAAACCAAGATGGAAACTTACTTTGGAAATATTTCATTTTCAAAAGAAATGGGATTTTTAATAGAAAAAGACTGTTCTTTTCTCTGTAGGAGAGGAGGAAATTGTCTTCTGAACAGCTACAAATGAATTATTTTGGGTTTATTGTGTGTTACTTTGAAATGGCCTCAGGGAAAAAAAGAAACCCCAACAAACTATTTTTTATGAAGAAATAGATAAATGTAATCATTGACTGGCAGCTGTATAATTTAAAAACTTCATTTTCTTTAGAAGCTGTAGCTCTGCTTCTAATCCATGAGAATGTCACTTGATTTTCTTTTAGTCAAAGAAGATACAGTTAGGGTTGTCAGCTTAACTGTAACAAGTAATAATACTGTAGTTTAAAAATATATATATTTGCTTAAAAAAAAACATTACCAGTATTCTTACCTATTCTGTTTATAGTTAATAACATACCATCTTATCTAAACGAGCATATCCTAGCAGTTCATGAACACTAGTTTCATATTGCACTAATTCCAGAAAGCAATATTTTTAGAAGATGCTGGAGTATTTACCAAGAAAAAAATGCTGTATTAGGTTCATAAATTAGTCCATATAAGTAATTAGTTTGCAAACGAATGTGTAGACAGGAAGAAGGTCGTATTTTTATGTTCAATATAGAATATTTATTTAATATACTGCCACATTCTACACAGATTCATAGATTTTAGAGAATTATCCTTGGACATATTCTGTTTGCATATTATTATAAATAGATGATAAAAAGATGGATCAACAGACCCAGTCCCCATCACATAATTTTTTTCCAGCAATCTATTGGACTGTAAAGAATAATATGATAGGAACGACATACAAAGTATGACTTCTGGAATCCTTTCCAGTCCCTATAGTAGCTGCTGTTCCACATCACGTGGAGGTAAGCTTAAGAATGGAGGGAGGGTGCTTAAGAATAGAGCAGTCAGCAGCATTCCAAGCCACTGTCCATTGTCCTCTCTAATTGAGCTGCATTGGGGAGGTTTTTCTGGATTTTTACCCTCACAACCCTGGCCAGATCTAGCTAGTTTTTGAACTTCATTGTTCTTTTGTCAGCTTTTCCTGCTACACTAAATTGGTCCTATTCTGTTTTGGTTTTAGAGATTTAGCTTTCTGACCAACAGAATTCTAAGCCCTTTTATATGATTTCTTTCCAGCATTCCATTAGGTTGGAAAGAATAAAAAACATACTTCATACACACCAGCAAAAGAGAATTGGAGAAAACGGTGTTACTGTATAGCCTTTCTCAGCCTACCTAAATCATCCATTTCATTGGTCTTAACTTACAGAGCTGGCTCAGCAAGAGAAAAGACAAAATTTAAGAATTGTAATTTCAACCACCCATGATATCCCTGTAGTTCACAGAATAGCCGGGGCATGCACAGTGTCATTAACAGATAAGGTGGGACCTAGACTGCGGAAAATATTTTGGCATTGAAATCTTAGCCAGCAGCCATACTAGCTATACATTTTGAAGACTGTAGTTCTGAAGGGTGCCAACTTGGAGAAGGCAGCTTTAAGAGATAACCTTTCCTAAAAGGTTGCTCCTGAAATGGTTATGTAATAGCCAATATTTATTTATTTGTTTGTTTGTTTGTTTGTTTATTTATGATATTTATATAGCTGCCCGTCTCACACAAGGTGACTCTGGGCGGTGTACAACAACTAAAAAGAATAAATACATAAAAACAATAAAATTAAAAAACTGTAAAAACACAAAATAGGAGGAGATAAAATAAATAAGGGAGCCATCGCAAAACCTCCCCAATCCCCTGGGAGCCCCAGGCCTGATCACATAGCCAGCTCTTGAGGGACTTGCAGAATGTCACGAGGGATGGAGCTAATCTCACTTCTGGGGGGAGAAGATTCCACAAGGCAGGCGCCACAGCAGAGAAGGACCGCCTCCTGGGACCCATGAAATGTAATTCTCTGGCAGACAAGACCCACAGCATGCCTCCTCTGCTAAAACCTGATGGGATGTGTTATGCATGCCAGAACAAAATTATGAAATATATTATGTTTATTCTTGAGATATATGGATGTTAGATATGTCATGCCTTCATTTACGATATATACTGTCAGGCCTAGCCCAAGGAACTCCAAGAGACAATGCAAAATCAGTTCAGCTATGTTTGTTAGCTACAACCTCTAGCAAGAATCTTCCCAGACTAAAACCCCAGGCCCCAAGTCAGCCAGCCACAACATTGTGAATTCCTCAGGGAGGTGCCATCATCCTCTTGTAGTTCCCACGCTCTTGCGGCGAGCTAAGAAAATGCTTATCTCCCTGGCCTTCATAATTCCATTCCATCACATATACAGTCAGATCCAGAAATATTGGGACATCGACACAATTCTAACATCTTTGGCTCTGTACAC